GAGAGAGAGAGAGAGAACATTTACAGTAATTCAATTCAAGGTGCTTTATTAGCATGACCGATAGGTACAATCAGTGTTGCCAAAGCAAATAAAAATAATAAAATTAACATAGAACAAAACAAAAAATAGAAGTAAAATAAAATCTACAGACATATTACAGACATTTACAACAAAGACATATTATATAATATTGACATATTCAATTCAATTCAATTCAAGGTGCTTTATTAGCATGACCGATAGGTACAATCAGTGTTGCCAATATACAGTACATATACTGTAGGCGGCTGGAGCATTATTGGGAGACGGACTCACTGTTTACAGTATATAATGAGTTTTGCTGTTCAGTCCAAAAGAGCCAAGATAGGTTAATGGGTTGAAAGCAGGTCTCCTTTAGCAAAAAAAAATGATTTGTGTTGTGCTGCAGAAATATCATTGCTAATTTAGCACTAGAATATCACTAATAAAGCTTAGCAAAAGAGCTCCTAACATAGTTTGTACATAATATTCGTTTCCATTAGTTCCAATCCATGTTTCCAGTGTTAATTTTTATAAGCAGATATAAGTACTTACATGTAGGAGCCACTTCACTACTTCACCTAGATGATAGCCTGCACCAGCAGCAGCAGTACACAGAATATCAGGTGGAGAAGTGAGAAATTAATTCAACAATCAAATTAAGGAAAAACTTTAAAATAGACCAGATTGGGATTTTAGCAGGACACCAGGAATTACTCTTATGCATAGTTCAATGGGATCTATAATGCCCAGACAGTTGGGATTTCTTTTTAAGTTAGCATTTGAAGCATGGCACCACCTACCCAGTGTTCCGGGTCAGCATGCTGAGGCATTGTTTTTTGTCCAGAAATGAAAGAGCCATCAACTGGTATACCAACGTGAGTTAGAGCTGTATCCTGGTTTTCTTTAAAGACCTTATCTCAGTGCTGACCAAGCCCAGCTTGCTTAGCTTCTGAGATCTGATGAGATCACATTAGAAGACGGTAATGATGATAATAATAGGGATAATAGGTCGGTGGACGATGCTGTCTCACTGGCCCTTCACACCACTTTTGAGCACCTGGACAAGAGGAACATCTATGCCAGGGTGTTATTTATTGACTTCAGCTTAGCCTTCAACACAATTGTGCCAGGCAGGCTGGTGGTCAAACTCAGGGGTCTGGACCTCAGCAACTCCATCTGCAACTGGGTCCTGGACTTCCTGACAGGCAGACCCCAAGTGGTGAGGATTGGAAACAAAACCTCATCCCCTCTGATCCTCAACATGGGTGCCTCCCAGGGTTGCTGCCTGAGCCCACAGCTGTATTATCTATTAACACATGATTATGTGGCTAGATTTAACAGCAACCCCATCATCAAGTTTGCTGATGACACAGTAATCGGCAATTTGTAGCCCTACTAGCAGACACTGGTGAAGTGAAGGACTGAGATTCAAGTTAAACAGGCTTTGGTATTAGTGATCAAAAGGATTTGCAGGTTCTGTTTGAGAAATTAACGAGGAAATACACATCAGCTGACGTTTTACGGGCAGAACACTTCAGCTCATTACTACGTAAGTTGACTTCAGTGTTTTTGCAAGTGTAGAATTGCTAATTATTACTTTTCCAGTTGGGATGTTAAAAGTGGATAATCTGACTCCTATTCAGTCATTTTGTTAAAACTGATACTATTGCCTCTTTGAAAAAACAGCTGGATGAAATCTTCAGGTGTTTTCTAACATGAATGAAAATGGGGTGTGCAAGTTATATACTGTATATGGACATTGATTTAGTTCCATGGAGGCTTTGTGAATTCCTAGCTTTTTTCTTTTTGATTCTTGTAAAGGTACGATCCTGATGTAGTCTTTCTGCAAGAAGTTATACCACCTTATTTAGAGTACCTGAAGAAGCGTGCTGTGAGTTATACCATCATTGAAGGTAATATTTGTCACTTAATTGAGTTTTATGGTGTATGGTCAGATTTTAAAGCATGACTGATGTTTAGTGTTAAGCCAGCAGCCATGTCACCCTGCAACTTACAATTGGCAGCCCACTGAAGCTAAGCAGGTTTGAGCCTGGTCAGTACCTGGATGAGAGACCTCTTGGGAAAAACTAAGGTTGCTGCTGGAAGAGGTGTTAGTGAGGCCAGCAGGGGGTGCTCATCCTGCAGTCCATGTGGGTCCTAATGCCCCAGTATAGTGACGGGGACACTATACTGTAAACAAGCGCCGTCTTTCGGATGAGACGTAAAACCGAGGTCCTGACTCTGTGGTCATTAAAATCCCAGGGTGTTTCTTGAAAAGAGTAGGGGTGTAACCCCGGTGTCCTGTCCAAATTTCCTATGCCTCCTAATAATCCCCCTCTATGAATTGGCTACATTACTTTGTTCTCCTCCCCCCCCACTCTGACAGTGACTCTGACTCTGGCAGGCGGAGCAACGCGCCGGTTGGAGTATTATCGGTCGCATTTAATGGCAACGTCAGCTCAAAGATTTGGTTCAAACCACCAAATGGAGACGGGCATGCCGACAAGCGGACCCTGCTGATGGGGGATTAACGCTAGGATGAGAGAGACTGTAGTTTAGTGTTGATGGTAGTAGTGTGATCTGCAGAAATTAATTGTTCATAGTCTTTTGTATTAAATTCTGGACTCGCGTTGATTTTAAAGTCAGCTGTTCCATTAATGGTCTAAGTTGCTACGGTTTCCATGTCTTTATTCATTTATGTTTATACGTTACCTTATAAAACCTGGTGGACTGCTACACCAGGAATCAGAACCACTGATCGAGAGTATATTTGACTGTACTGTGATAACTGTGCTCCGTGCAGCAGTGAAATTTGGTACGCATGCAGACCGGGAGCTTGAGAAGCATGTTTCCATTGATGGTAACAGTGAGATTTACCCACTTCATGCAGCCAGTGTACCATATCCTCCACATGTAGACGCATGTGGTGCACATTGAGCACATCTAGTTTTATCCTGTCCTTGTGTATCTAAACCTATTTAGGTTACTTTTAGTAGTTGTCTGAGATGATAAACCTGGAGTTGAAAGAGTTGTATGTATTTACAGAAAAGCAGCAGCACAGAAAGCAACTGTTTCTGTGGTTTTGCAACCTCCTGGCAGTCAGTTCATCCAGTATTTATTATATCCTCTTCATTAGTAGCTTGGTTATTGATGGTTTTTAACCCCTCCCACAAGAAGCTGAAAGGCAAATAAATGTACTCAGTGCCAATAGGCCCCCTATTTAATGCTGGTGAAATGAGGTGCACTATTTATAGAGGACTTTACAGAGCACCCTTGAGGAGAAATTACTGTTGTACAGTATGTACAGCAGGGACATCATTATAATGTGATTAGTCACACCAAGCTGTAAATGAAAACTTAATTTTAATTAAAATTGTCATTTTTCCCTAAGATTATCTCTAAAACCATTTGACCTGTTAGGATATTTTGATGAATTGATGAACAGTCAGTTCTATTGTAAAGTCACATTCTACATTATGTTAGCAATCCATCTCCATCTACTGTTATCCATGTTAGCTCAAAATTCTGCTGTTATGGGGCCAGAAAAACAAAAATTAAATCTTGTTTTTGTGACCTTTTATATCTCTACTGTTTTAGTTTAGGTACTGGTTGGCTGGTTGGGCTGCTTTTGCTGGGCTCTATGTCAAGGAACATTTGTTTTTTTTCTGCCAGAAATTTCCCCTTTTATGCATTTTCAAGTTTATTTTTTATATTTGTTTTTCAGGTAATGAAGATTGTTACTTCACAGCTATAATGCTGAAGAAGTCTCATGTCAAACTTTTGAAGAGTGAAACAATTAACTACCCTACAACAGACATGATGAGGAATCTTCTCATTGCACAGGTTGGTGTATCTGTAATGATTACCACATTGGAGCAGGAATCTAGAAAATGGAGAATCTGAACATTCCAGGAGTGTTCAATCACTTTTTATATACAACAAATAAGTCAGCCTTGAGTCACCATTTGGTTCTGCTTCTCTTTTTTTAATGTTCTGGAGGCTTTTTTTCCATGTTTGGGATTCACTTGAATCCTCACACAGGTGAGGCATAGAAAGGTCAAAGGCAAAAGACTTGAAAGAACGTTTAGTTGATTATTCACATGCCCATCACCTTAGTTTAATGGAAGTGTGGTCACTATGTTGCTTTTGACAAGGCCATTAAAATGCGTGGAGCTAATCCACTGGTGCCAGAGGTTACATTTTGCCCCAAACCTTCTTTTGTCTTATTAAGGACTTCTATATTCAGGTCGAATGAACAGAGAGCACTGGATTTCTAGAAGAATTTGACTGAGCAGTAGGCTTGTAATTTTACTTTCTAACCTTCTTGTACATTAATTGAAGAAGGACTTTCATACAGTTTTCATCGGCTGCTGTTTTCATTATGGTTCTGGGTTGGAACAGCTGTGAAATCAACCAGGACAAAACCCAATGTTAGAATATGTAATCTACCGCACTCCAACAAAATAACAAAGTGATTGACACCCAGTGAAACTGTAAGTGGTAGAGGCTTTGACTGTTTGTAGTGGCAGGTCAGCTGTTATTACAGTCCTTTCAAACAACTGCTCGCCACACAACCCTTATCAAGACCCAGGTTGTCAAAATAAACTGTGATAATTCACAAGATATCTGTCTCTCTTGCAGATTACTGCCACTCATTCCTTCCTTTTTAGTAGCCACTTTAGACATCAGGCCCATCTTTATTTGTTGCTCGATTGGGGAAAAAGACAGAATTCTGTCTGTGTGAAGCAAACAATTTTCTAATTTTGTTTTTGAAGGGGTTGGGGAAAGCACTATGGCTAGTAGGTTAAAATCTGATTATTCCACAGTTAGGGGAATACAATTATACTGAATACTAAATGAGCACTGGGTGGCAACACTGAGCAGTGTTTTTTTTTACTGATGAGCTTGCTTAGGAAGTGTGTTAATAGAATAAACCAGTAGCTTAAAACATGGAGATAGAATTTGATTTTGCTATCTGGAGAAAATCAAATTAGGAAAAAATGGAAACAGACCAAAACAAGTCCAGAATCCATCCAAAATGGATAGTTATTTCTTAAAAGTTATTTCTTAAAAGTTTTGTTAGTAATCTTGTTGTGAACTTTTTACTTTACTTTAATTTCAGTCAACACAGCTGATTTTACTGTAAATGTTCAGATGTATATCTTTTTAAAGAGATAAGAAAAAAAGGGTTTAAAGAAACAAAACTTGTTTTTCTCATCTGTTTTATTTCTGTATTTGTTTTCCTTGTGTTACTGCAGGTAAAGATTCATGAACTGGAGTTGTGCTTGATGACATCCCATTTAGAAAGCTGTAAAGAACATTCTCAAGAACGGATGAACCAGCTGAGGAAGGTGTGGGAGAAGATGAGAGAGGCGCCAGCAAATGTCACAGTGATATTTGGTGGAGATACCAACCTTAGGGACCACGAGGTCAGTCCTAAGCCTACACATTGAATATCCAGAGAAACATGTATGCATTTAGAAAATTAAACCAGTGATACCAACAGCTAAATGACTTACCAAAATACATTGGAGTGACTATTGTAAAAGCACAAAAATCATTAATGTTGGAGTTGATTGTACACAGGAGATAAGGTGAAAATTAAGAAATAAAAATGCAAAAAAGAACCAACATGATCCTTGACAGTAGATACATTTCCTCTATAGAGATGAATCAAGGTTTTTTTTTTTTTTAGAACATCCTCATGGACATTTGTAGCAGTTGTGGCACAGGCACAAAGAACATTTAGCTAATTATTGTGTACTGCTCAAAAGAGTGATGCAGTTGTGATGGTCCGTCCAGGTGTGTTGCTACAGAATCCAGGTGTGTTGCTACAGAATCCAGTTGTATTGATTAATGGGAACCTGACTGCTTGGTACCTTGGCATCGAGCGAGTACTGCAATTTAAGTTGTTATGGACAGTTATGTCAGGGAATTGAGCTCTTTAGAGCACTCTAGGATGAACGAAGATGATGTATTTAATCTAAGGCTCAGAGACCAGTGATCAAGGAGAGATTTGTACAGGTTCTTTGACAGTAACGGGACAGTTACACTGTATAGTCCAAGTTCTGTGTCACAGTTTGTTTCCAACATGCCAATAGCCAGTGACTTTCCAACTGACCTGAGACAAAGGTTACTTGGCATAATTCACATTCCAGTGTCAGGTCTGTTCAATAAAATCCCAGTGGTCCTGGTAATAAATGATAATAGTGTTGTAAATTTGTTGCATGTTACAAGTCTTATGTTTATTTTGATACTCAGTTTGCAGGCAGTGGTTGTTAGTAATATGCAGTACTTTATTTTTCTTATTGTCTTTATGCTTTGAATACTGAAATAATTACTGTAAATTAGTAGTCACATAATTAGTTATTTTATACAGTTCCTTTTGCAGTTAACAAGTGCAGCAGATCCTCCTTATTGGGTAGTGTTGTAACAGAAAGAATAAGGTTCTGGATCCTGAGATGAAGTTAAACAGATGAGTTTATTGCATGCAAGGAACAATAAAGCCGAAGTCTTGTTTCCCACAAGAAACAACAAAACCGAAGTATTGTTCAAAGCACAGGTACAAACTTTAAGGTTATATAGTCCTTCCTTGCTGCTTCAGACGTCATTCGGTGTTATGGTAAAGAGGGGGGTCATGGTATTTGGCCAGTTAAGAGACCCTGGCCAAATGGTCAGTTTAAGATTACGCCCCCAGGGGGTTCCTAGCTCGCATCTGGAATCCTTATCAGTTAACCCCCTTTTCTGCCATAAACCCCTGTTGCTTAGAAGTCTTATTTTCAGGCAGAACTGACTTAAGTTAACCTTTTTTACATCTTTTGCATTTCTTCATCCCCCCCTTATAAAATATGGCATATGTCAGGACTGCCTATTTTTTACACATACAATGTCTGGGCAGATCTTTCCTTTTTAGATGTACAGGCATGCATTACCATGACATTGTGCGTTCCACGGTTCCAACAAGATGTGATTGATGTTTTTGTACAAGTGATAGTAACAATTATACATATAAAACAATCCTAATCCTACAAATACATAAAGTCCCCCGGGACCCAAACGCAAACCTCAGCCATGTGGAGATCTATCGTCAGGATCTTGGAATAGCAATATTGACCCATCTCCAATTATCATTTTTTGGCTGAGAGATATGCCAACACCCGGAATGTATTGATACCATATCCCCAGTAATGCTCCCTCAGGCCTAACAAACACACTGTTGGTCTTAGGAATTATCAGACACAGACAATAACAACATCCTTCTTTCTGTTCACTCAGTCTCTGGTGCCATGGGTCGGTGAAAGTGCGATGCGCGGATCCAGCGATCTCATCCTGTCACTCAGATGGCACAGTCAGTAGTTAGTGGCACTTGATATGGTCCCTCCCAGCAGGATTGCAACGTTTGGCAGGGCATTTCTTCTTCACCTACACCCACTCGCCAGGTATCCGGTCGTGTCTCCCCTCTACTGGAAGTCCCCAATCGTCCAGCACCTGTTCACGAGTCCTGTGCACCGTTAACAAACCTACATTACTGTAATAGAGAGTTAGTAAATTCAGCAGTCCGTTAGCCAAACTTGGCTGCTTTCTTTGGCTGCCCGTGATGATCTCGAATGGGCTCAGTCTCACAGTTCTGTTTGCTCCAGCCCGCAAACCTCACAGGACCGCAGGTAGAGCATCTACCCATGGTGTTCCTTCAGTTGATATTTCCTTAGTTGGTCTTTCAGACTGTGGGTGATGGGGGCAATGTGACTTCCAACTTACCCCTAGTGAGGCGATTACAGCCTGGCACACCTTCCCAGTGTAGTATGCCCCTAGATCAGTATCCAAGGGGCAGGGCAGTCTGTACCACAGGATCATCTTTGTCATACACTTGGGTATGCGCCAGCCCACATCCCATCATTATACAACCCCACATTCTTTACACATTTTTTCTAACCACTATTAAACATCTATTAAAGGCCTCAACCTGAATTCTCCCTTTTCCCCAATAGAGGATTCACAGGGGTCTCAGACTCCCGCTCTCCCAGTGCCGCTCGCCTGGCATCTGCATCTGCACAGTTGTTACCTTGAGTTACAGGAATTCTTTATTTATTGTGTTATTTACACCTTACTCAAGCTGCTTCTGTCAGCAGCTGTAAAACTACAAATCAGTTCAGAGACAAATCCAGTATTCTCAACTGGAGTCCCTGCCGTTCTGAGAGAATCCTATTTCTCCATAGCCATCCAGAATTGTGGCCTACATGCAACAAATACATACATTATATACATATACAGTAACCCTTTAACATCTTTCTTTTCACAATCTTCCATCAGGGCTCTAAACTGACTTGCTGCGCTGAGGCAGTGGAGGGGCATTTTTTCCGATCGTTAGCACCTCGAATTCTGTTGTAACAACTCAGCCTGTTCTCTGTTCTCCCTCATGCATCAGAGAGGACCAATCAGTAAACAGTATTACATTTTCTTAAAATTTTCACGGTCCCCTACCTTTTGGCTACAGCATCTAATGGTATAATAGTGCCTACCTCCATGCTCCTGCGTCAGCACAGCTGCCCAGAACCCTTTTTCCACACTTGCATACAAAGGAATGGTTGATCCATCTGAGGAAACCCCAGTCTCAGCACCTGTAAGAGAGCTTATTTCAAATTATTACAGGCGGCTTTTGCTGCTGGAGCCAAGGCAATCTTGTCCTTGGACTGCACTCTCCCCTTAAGCAGATCTGTTAAAAGTTGTGCTCACCCCGTAAAAACATTGCACCCAGGCCCTGCTAAAATTACACACTGCTAGACACAAAAGGGCCTTATCATAACTGCTTAATATTAGACACTCTAAACCTGAAGCAACTCAGACCTATGGGTTTCCTCGTCAGGGGAAGCACTCAGACTACCATCAACATACTGAGTGATCACAGTCAGTTGAAGCCACGTGATACCCTGCTCTGGATAGTCATTCCTTGTAATGCTGCATAACATCCCAACCCAATACATTTTGGATAAAACCACCCACATTCGCTTGATAAGTGCACGTGAATGTTAAAATCCGGTGCTTGGCAAGTAAAACTTGCTGCCCCAATACTCCTGTGACCTCCTGCCGTCTTCCCATATACATTACTCTATAGCACATTGTGAAATGAGACAAGCATGACAGTAGTGCTCCAGTATCCCATAACAGAGAAACCAACACCCCATTAACAGTACATTTAAGGTTTAATTCCTTTTACACGCTGGACTGGGACAGACTTAGGGAGGCTACAAGGGATTTACAGGATCTAATCGTTAGGTAAACAGATCTTCTCATAAGACTCTTTATTCTCCCCAGTCTTGATTCTAAACCTACAGCGTTTCAGCATGTCTGGTTTCGAGACATTCGAATAAATCCAACTTGTTTCCACTATTACAACTAATTGTATATACATACAAAAACTGTTTATCTAACTCCTTTTACGTCCACCTGTACTGTACTTATACGTTTCAGACGCTCTTATGTTTTCCAATCTCCTTAAGCTGATTTTCGTCAAGTCTCTTTAGTTACGTCTCGAGCCAGTCCCGCTGGCTAAACACACTCGCAATGTCTTTTAGTATACCAAAACTGACAGTTACACACATACATGCTGGCACACAAATTCATAAAGCACACATACACATCGAGAATATATTTTTCTCTTCGTACTACAATGTGTTGTATTCTTGTTTCACTTCTACATGAATCCTTTTAATTCCTGAAGCGCACTCCAGGTTCGCTGCATTCCTAATTTCGGATCTGTATTTTAGCCCACCGGTCAATATCTTCCGGTTTTGGATTTGATCGTATGGGGGAATCAGGGAAGGTAGGTGCAAGTGCGGACCCCCTCGATGGGGTGCGAGACCGTTAGAGTGGCGCTGTCATCAACAACGCCAGCCCCCGCTACATAAAGTCCTTTCCCACTTCGTGTGAGAGTACAGATCTGCGGTCGCCCTCCCTTTAAGAGGGGAGTCCCTGTTCCATCTCTATCACACTCGTACCAGGTGTGATCCCACTCAGACCCCCCCGTCTCCATATATGGTCACTGTGGGAATTGATCCCAATTATTTTCATTTCCTGCCTGTCTGTTTCCCTATGGGAGAGCAGTATATAATTTAGTTGACGGTTGTAACACATTAACTAGTGCAGTGCGACCAGGAACTAATTCTTCCTTTAGTTTCCGATTCTCCTGCACTGCCTCTTTTCGCTTTTGTTCATACTTTGTAGCGAGTAAAGTATCTTTTCTTTCAGGTTTTTTTTCGTAAACACAGCTTTTAGTAATCACATCCCAATTTCTCTTTTTTTTCTCTCATGTATCTGCCACAACTGGTGTCGGCCGTACACCAGGGTGGCAGCTACACCCTTGTGCTTTTGCCAATCAATACGCATATGCTTTCTTTACAGGCGTCTTCGCCCCAAACTCTCTCTGACAAACTCAGCTTTTCCCATATTTTTCTCCTTCTTTTCCATCAACTTGCACTTTTCTGATATATAAATGGACCCTTCCACCACTTTCTCAAACCACCAGGTAGCACACATGTTCGGTCTCTTTAAGAGTTACTTTGTTGTGTGTGAGGTGTGTAACCTCCAGATCTAAATGCCTCTCAGAGCCTTTAGAGAGGACTTACCCAGCACTGTTCACAGGCAAGGAGCGAGATCTCGAAAACCCCCTTCCTTGATCAGTAATTCACCATCCCCAGAATGCCAGCCTCGCTGCTTTTACCCCGGGGTGGACTGAGCTCGATCAGGGTGATTCTCAGATCTCAGCGTCCTTTAGATCCTGCTACTTAGTGCTTTGCTCTTTTATTATGAGGTGTGTATATGTTAGTGTCATGCTTGTGTATATGTATTCACAAACAAGGAAAACACCAAAAACATACATTTATATCTTCTACTTCTCTCCTGTTCCCTTTGAAAGAAAAAACCACACCACGCCAATCCGTGCACGATCAAGGCGTAGCTAATCTCAGGACCCTGGGCACAATTAAGGCCCACACCAATCCTGGATTATACGTGCATTTAATGCACCACTCATCTTCAGAACCCCAGGCGCAATTAAGGCCCACGCCAGTCCTGACTTACGTGCGTTTAATGCACCACTCGGCTTCAGAACCCCAGGCACAATTAAGGCCCACACCGATCCTGAGCCTCAGAACTCTGGGTGCAATTAAGGCCCACACCAGTCCTGAATTTCGTGGTAAAGGTCCAAAACCCGTTCAAAAACTCCACACGCAATTAAAGCATACACCAGTTTCGAACGCCTGTACACAATCACCGCCTGCCAGACCAACTTCTGGGCTTACAGCAAACCACCCATTACGTACCGGTGTCTTCCCCGGGTCAGAGGAATTCAGGAACTCCCGTTTACTCCGTCATCTCGGGCGATTCTCGCAGGGAGCAGAGACTTCCCAATTGGTCAGAGAGAGTCGGGACTTTTTTTTAAAAAAAGAGGAGTCCTTACCTCTTAGTAATGTGAGCGCTGACAGTCTCTCCTGCCGATGGGAAGTTCTGTGCCTTCTGGAGCATCCGCTGACTATCCCAAAATTGTTCTAACAGAAAGAATAAGGTTCTTCAATGTGCCGGTACAAACTTTTAGGTTATATAGTCCTTCTTTGCTGCTTCAGGCGTCATTCGGTGTTCTGGTAAAGAGGGGGGTCATGGTATTTGGCCAGTTAAGAGACCTTGGCCAAATGGTCAGTTTAAGATTACGCCCCCAGGGGGTTCCTAGCTCGCATCTGGAATCCTTATCAGTTAACCCTCTTTTCTGCCATAAACCCCTGTTGCTTAGAAGTCTAATTTTCAGGCAGAACTGACTTAAGTTAAACCTTTTTACATCTTGTGCATTACTTCAGGTAGCATGGGCTGGAGGACCTACATACTGTACATAAGCCAATTTAAAATGGGTCTCTGCATTCTTCTTGCTATAACCTTCAAGTATTTCTGGAGACAATTATAACCAAGGCTGAGGCTGGAACAATCCTAATATAAAATCCTTCCCACCCTGACTAGGTCCGTAACCTGCTTTTGCCTCACCAGATTCACCTTTTAAGCTAAGATTAAACAATACGAGAGCAACACCATGCTTATCCCTTTTAACCAAAACCTTCGGGAAAACCCATCTAACCATAACCTTTAACTAGTCTACCTTATGACTAGCCAGTTAGACAATAATATCTGCATGCAGAACCTTTTTATACCTAGAATAATTGAACATAGTTGTAGCAGATATTACTCTCCTTGTGTGAATACCTGCACCTTTTCTCTTTCTGGCTGGCATCTACTGTAAGCTGACTATCTGCTTCTACTGTAAGCTGACTGGCAAAACTGGCCCTAGTGTGAGTTTGTGCATGTTTGTGTCTGTGTGAACCCTTTGATGGACTAGTGTTCCTTCCCAGATGCCTTCAGCTTGTTGCTTTGTAGGTTAGGTTCTGGCTCCCTAACCTTTATTGGATAAAGAGGTTAGAATAAGGATGGATAGATGGATGAGGAAATAATTGTTTGAGAAGACAGTTCAGCACACACCTGAAATCTGGCTAATGCTAAATAATCAGTTTTATCAAAAAAGTGTCTTGATCATTACACACCTGCTTCTACCTTTTTTTAAACCAGTGTAGCGGCGAGGCTTATTAATAAGACAGAATTTGCTGTGCTTTCCTTAATGAGGCCCCATCTCTCTCTTCATTTCTGTGGTGCAGCCACAGAGAAGCTATTCATGCAGGCTGATTTAAAGATGTTTTCTTTTGATAAGGGACAGCTCCCAAATGGGGATGCACTTAGCTAAGCCTAGCTATCATGATCAATGGTCATCCATTGGCGCCTATCTGTCTAGGGAGCACCAGATGGACATCTGGACTGCATTCCTAGGTGTCAGGAGTAAGTGACTCATATCTCACTTTGATCAACCAATCAGGGACTGGTAGGGCCGAGTAACCCACGTGGGTCTCTGATGCCCATGAAACTTTCAGCCAATGAGCGAACTGAAGTTCCTTCAGGTAAAAACAGGCAACACAGAGGGTCTGAGAGACTATTCTAAAGGGAATTCAAAGGAGAATTCCAGGGGAAGAACAATTCCAGGGCAGGCCCAGCAGCAGAAAGGCTCCCAAGGGCAGGACATTCTCGCAGCGTGCCTCCTGACCATCCTGAGACTCAGCCCGGACAACCACGGAATGGCCAGTGTGTCCGAGTGCCAGAACTTTCCTTTGTTCTAAGAGTCGAGAGCGGAGGTTGCCAGAGAGTAACCAAAAGATCCACCCGAGGTTAGCATCAGCAGCAAGCCTCATGAACAGGTCGGAACTGTGGAAAGCTGGATCAGTATTCAGAACTAGCGCATCATCAGGAACGAACCGGTCCTCTTCCTGACCTGCTGGGACCCACAGTCATCTTTTCTCCTGTGCAAACTTCGCTAGTTAAAGCCAACACTAACTAGCCGGTCTTCAGAGAGCATCAGCAGCACACCGTCGCAAGACGCACAGCACAGCCTGGCACGGAGCCAGAGAGCGCGGATTGGACAGCAACAAGCCAGCAACTGCTTCTTTGTGCCCGCAGGAGATCTAAATCCCCAAAGAATGGATGAGTATTCAACTTCACTGCATTACTGCTCGAGAATTAAATTGTTATCCCAACCAGTTGATATCAATTTAATTCCTAAGAGTTATTTACTTGTTTTGAGTATCAATTACGAAACGGTCTAAATGAATGATATACTGAACGTATGTCCTCTTGATATGTGTAACTCTTCGTAACTGAATGAATATATATATCTTTTGTATTCTGATAACCCTCACGATAAGATCTGTTAGGTTTATTGGCATATTTTATATATTAATAAATGTATTTTTGTGTATTAGTACCTGTGTGTGTGTGTTGTTTGAGTTATACCGCATGGTTGGATTCTAAGGCCATTAAAAGAATCATTTTGTGATTTACTGCTACAATTAATAATTGTCCCAGTAAATGCCCAAACCCCTACAGAACTGGTGCCTCGTGAGAGCACACTACACCAGAAATTTTCAAATAATGGCTTTTCTCCATCCCGCACAGTTGTCTTCATCCCAAACAGAATATTCTTCCTGACAGTGACTTTTTTTTCTGTGAATAAATTACTTTTTTGATGTACGGAAAATAAACATTGTAATTCTATATTTTCGTTACTGTGAGATTCCTAGAGAAATTTCCAGAAAATTCTAGAGAACTACTCTATATCTCCTGAGCTGTGGGTGTTTTTTCTCGGCAGGTGGCAAAACTGGGAGGCTTACCTAGTGGCGTGTGTGATATCTGGGAGTTCCTTGGTAGGCCTGAGCATTGCAAGTACACCTGGGACACCAAAACCAACACCAACAGGAAAGTGTGCTATGTCAGTAGGCTGCGCTTCGATCGAGTCCTCCTGCGGGCGGCCAAAGAAGGGGCTCGGGTTGTTCCAGAGCACATGGACCTAATTGGGCTGGAGAAGCTGGACTGCGGCCGCTTCACAAGCGACCACTGGGGAATTCTTTGTGGATTTACCATTCAAACTTAAGTCAACAGCACTGTATTTCACAGGGGGATATGGTCACATGTGGTTGAGCAGTGTACACTGGAAAAATGTAAAGAAGCAAATGCTGTATTGTAATTGTTTTTGCTACTTTCTTTGATTTCTGAAATTAGCCAGGAACCAGACTTGTTTCATACTATGAAAATATTAAATGTTTTTCAAAGGCAGTGATCTGATTTTGTCATGGTAAACTGGTCATGTTGCATTTTAGGAAAAGTTTGCTTGCAATGTCTGCTTTAAGGTAACTGTGCTTTAAAGATTTTTAAGTGTTTTTTGTTTATGGTTATCATGTTTTACAGTTATGGCTTGTTTAATTATCTTGAAGGAGCCGGTAATGTAAATAAAATATTTGAATCCATATGTTGTGCAAAATGTATATTAACTTTTTATTGGGACAAGTAAATCTATTATTTTGCAGTTTTGGTGCAAATTTTTTTTACATTATGCAAAATTGAAATCCGACTTAAAGGTTGGATTTAACTCTTCATAAATTGCATTCTGAGTACTAGATGGCAGCTTTCCAGTGTGCGGAGTGCATAGCCCTTTTACAAACTAGAGCCCATTATCAATCACTTGGTTTGTGATTTGCTGTCAGAATAAGAGATAAAGTTCTGGATTAATCTGAAGATGTTCTTTTAAAAAGTTATTAGCTTTTTGTAGTTAAAGGTATCCTAATTTATAATTTTAATTTGGCATATCCAATTCCTGTTTGTTTTTGCAGGATACTTTTGACCTGAGGAAAGAATTAAATATTTTTTTTTTATTCAAGTATTTCAAAAATGGGTTGGGAATTCTGTAAACCATTGCTTGGGCTTAATATTTCTGGTGGGACTTAGTTTTTGCAAATATAAAACTTAAAAGCTACTTTCCCTGAGTGAAAAAGGATGGGTGTGTGGGCATCAGTGTCAAGGGTTGTATGGATGTACAGTAAATTGCCTTGTTGGTCCAGTGACACCTTAGTTGTGATTGTGTCTCCTGCCCTGATCAACACGTTTCTTAGCATCGAGTAAGGGCCGGGGAATTGCCACACTATTCGGGGGTAAGAGTGGGGTTACACACAGGTAGGACTGGACCTGTGATTGGAATCCTGAGAATAGGATGAGATAGAGCAATGCATCAGTACACTTGGCCATATTTGAACTAGCATATTCCTATAAGTGCCCTCCTGTGGTGTCTGTGTCTGCCCACAAAAATAGCCCCCTTGGGGGAAGATTCAATAGCCTTTGTTTAGAAGGCATAAAAAGCCACATTTCAGTTTTATTTTGCAAATGTGTTATGAACTGAGTCAATTTAGTGCATAGTGCCTGTTAAAAATCCTGGTTCGAATCCCTTGATTTTCATATTTATTTAAGGAGGACACAATGAGATGCTAGCTAGAAGCTATATCGCCTCTCAACTGGCTACCTGCTGAAGTTAAGCAGGTGTGAGCCTGGTCAATACCTGGATGGGAAACCACCTGGGAAGCTATGGTTACTGCTGGAAGTGGTGTTAGTGGGACCTGCAGGGGGCGCCCACCCTGCAGTCTGTGTGGGTCTCAATGCCCCACCATAGTGGTGGGGACGCTATACTGTAGTGGGTGCCGTCTTTTGGATGAGACGTTAATCCGAGGTCCTGACTCTCAATGGTCATTAAAGATCCCAGGGCATTTCTTGTTAAGAAAGGGAATTATCCTGGTGTCTGTGGCCTCCAAATTGTCCCCATGTATGATGTATGATTGACTTGCACTTGCCCTGTGATGGACTGGCTCCCCATCCAGGGTGCACCCTGACTTGCGCTCGTTGGCTTCCCGCAACACCGTATTGTATAAAGCGGTTTGGCAAATGACATGAGAATGAGAAACTGATTGCTTCTTCAGGTTTAAAAAGACCCAACAAGTATTAAGTATTAAGACATGCTAGCAGTGTTATGCAATCTAGTGCAATTGTCCCTCTGGCAAACAGAGAAACAAAATTACAGACATTATTATCCTTGCACCAGTAAAACAGTGCTTGAATTTAACAGAGGGGATAACTGAAGGTCAAAGTCGTGGTGCATGATCACGGGATCACCCGAAAAAGAAGGCGCTATACATCTATAGCGGGAACAAAAACAGCTGGGAATCTACTTTCAGCGGCAGAAACGCAGCACTAACGAATGAGAACGGTTCGGTTCGTCTACGATGTTGTAAGGGGGCTTAGTGAGGTCACACCCCGAAAAAGAAAGCGCTACAGTACATCTCCGAAACGAAAGCAGCTGGGAAGCTACTTTCAACGGCACAAATGCAGCTCTAACGAATGCGGTGGGTTTAATCGTTTGTGCTGTTTATAGGAGGAGAGGGGCAACTTCATGGAGCTGCCTAGTACCCTTTATAATTGTGAGGAGGCGTAGAATAAGTCTTATTTTGGGGGGTCACCTATACGTGACACTACCCTTTCGATGTTCCTAACTATACAACTCACTAAAAAATCTTTCTCCTAAACCATTACATCTAGAGATGTTAAACACAGAAAATGCTTTTGAACACTTATTTGTTGCGGTTTAGGACATCTCAGCAAGTACAGGTACTGTACGTCTCCAAAAAACAGTGAAAATAAAAGAGGGTTGTTTACTAATACAAATAAGAAATGTTATGCTAATATTTCAACATTTATGCCAACATTTCTGGGCCGTATACGCAGACAGACGTTGCCCCTAACAGATTTACGAATACATTGGTTCTGTTATTAGGTTATTTATGGCTGGGTTTTTGTACTTAAGAGCTGTTGATATTTCTACAAGCCTTTTGTGTCCTTTCTTTGGGGTTCCCCTGTCTTTTTTAAAGATAACTTAAGGTTTTATTCAAATGGCTGTGCTAATTTATTTACATTACTATAATAATAAGCAAATGCAATAAAAAAACAATCAGAAAACGAAAGTAAATGGTTTAATTTGGAATTTTGGGAGAAACGAAACCTACGAACGAAAAATAGATTTCCACAGCTGCTCTGCAGTTATAACCCGAGATTCCACTGCAGTGTTACTCAGTTTTAAATGTAAATTTAAGCCGTGTTGTAACCATCAGCAGAATTTCCATAAAGACTGTCACATCTGTAAGGGTTTTTTTTTAACTTAAGTGAACTATTTACTCGGTATTGTATGGAAGCCCGTTTCCGCCAGGGAGTAAAAAAAACGCGCTATGGTATCTCAGAATTCCGACTTAAAAACTGAGAATTACGACTTTATATCTCACATTCGCGACTTCGAAATAGCCCATATTTCATTGTCTTTCCTTTTGTTATTGTAACGGATTTGGGTTCTAGGGCTTGTGCCCTCGCCGCTCCTACCCTACTTCGTGCATCACTGCAATGGCTCGAACCCAGGTCTTGCCAGCTGAGCTAAAGAACACTTTCTTTAGCCCCGGCGGCCAGCATCCCTGTTATGCGCAGGGGATGGCGGTGCCGACACCACACTGTACTGTATGTCGGCCGTTCCATTACAATATATTTATGAATCGTAATGGATCATAGGATCTATAGGCCTGAAGACTTGTCTTGTACAGTGCCCTGATAAAAATCAAATTAATTACACAAATTTTTATGGAATCCGCAAGTGAGGGTTCCATAGTACCCGGATGGAATAGTGGACGGTGGGGCTTTTAAAAACGTTTTTATTTAAACACCAGAAATACAAAAACGGAGACAGAATATGAAATAAGATACAGAAATAGACACTTCTCATCCAGAGGAATTCACAATTATAAAAACTGAAACTTATACTTTTTACATATTTCCATTGTATGTCCTTTTTTTACTAAAAAAAGAAGGTCTTTAGCTCAGCTGGCAAGACCTGGGTTCGAGCCAATGCAGTGAGGCACGACCTAGGGTGGGAGCGGCGAGGGCACAAGACCTAGAACACGAATCCGTTACAATAACAAAAGGACAGACGAAAAAAACCCGGCTATTTCGAAGTCGCAAATGTGACATACAAAGTCGTAATTCTGAGTTTTTAAGTCGCAATTCTGAGATACTAAGTCGGAATTCTGAGATACCGTAGCGCGTTTTTATTTTACTCTCTGGCGGAAACGGGCTTCCATAGGTATAGTGTATGTACTGTATATTTCTTTTATACTTAAAGATAGAAATCTTAAGGTAAATCTAACATATCATTAAAAGTTTTTTTTAGAATATAACATCGATTTTCAAAGAGAAGAATGGATCTATCTATATATTATACATAATCTATATGTGATCTATTACAGTGTCAATACAGTACATCATTTTGTTTTCCAGGCTTGATTAGCAATGCAGTGTTTGCTGGTTCATGGAAGTGTGTTTTTGAGTTGCAGCACATTCAGAGCTCAGTTTGTCGGATTTAAGCAAAACTAAACTGCTTGATCATACACTCCCTGTTTTGGCTTCCTATCACTGGCTCTCTGGGTGTTTTCATAAGATTCAAAATACTTTTTAATCAATTATCAATGTAATAATTTAAATTAATAATAAATTGAATTATCCCCCCCCCCCAGTTTCTTATCAATTTGAAAAGGTGATCCATTATTCATGTAACTAAGAACTGTAATCAATTACAGTTCTTTAAAAAATGATTTTCTGCAGACTGTCCAAGATAAGTAAAAGAGAGGTTGAAAACTACTGGCTAGACAATGGGTCATGAACAGTAAGCTACAGCTATTTAGTGGTGGCCCAACCCATTTAGTTAAATCACATTGTATATGTCACAGATATTGTATTTAAAATACACTTTTAGATCTCTTTCTGATATAGAATTGTTTTAGAAGTGTTGACTGGAGTTGGTTATTTGCATTACCGATTGATCTTATTTCTCTGCAAAAAAGCTCAGATTTTAAAGAACATCTCCAAATGTTCAAGTAAAGGTAGTGATTATGCAGTAAATACACTGTCTATGGCTCTAAAGACTCTGAAGAGAATCTCAAAGGCAACTAAAATAGGTACCAAGCCAAATTTGTTATTTGTATTGTTACAACTATACAGTATGTGACTAGGTAGTGTAGTTTAGTGTTTTCTGAGATGTGGGGAACAACCACACACCCGCCAATCAAAAACAATTGTAAGGTTCACTGTAAATATAGTAACTTGTGTGTTGGATATTTTTGTTGTGTGTAAGAAAAAATTCATATGCCTCTAATTATACCAACTATTCGGATATAATCTGGAGAAATCACTTATAAGTTGGGGTTTCTGAATATTTATTTTACTTATTGACTAAACTGCTTAGTCAATTGTGATATTTACCATTTTGTAACCCCTCATTTGTAACAATATAGTATTTATAAATGGTGTACAGTATTTATACCTATCTGATTTTTGCTTTAAAAACCCAACTGAGCACTTGTTTCTTTATTTACTATAGCAATAAGCAGGA